CTCCAACGATCCGAATCCAAAAAAAAAGGAAGCCTCAAAAAAAACCAGTCTGCACAAAATGTACAAAGACTTATTAACTGTAGTTCACAACTAAGTGTCATTGTCTCTTTTATACTATTGCTCTATAATCCACTTTTAGAACCGAACTTGTGGCAAGAGTGACAAAAAACAACAAAATACACAAATTCACATTTTACTTATACTCAAAATTGAATACCTTTTTTTATATTTGTACAGTGCAATTAGTTATTAAAACATTTAAAATACAATAAACAGCAAAATTACACTTCCACACTGTGAATAACTATCACAGTCATCTTTCAAATTATCTCGACTGGTTTTTTGCAACGACAAACTTAGTTATCAATTTATTTTTTTTCCACTATGGTTTTTTTCCAGTGACTACACATGTGCTAATTACAMAAAATGGCTGCTACAACTCACCGAGACAACTTCACATTCAATTGATTCAGATTCGAGTTCCAACGTAGTTCAATAACATTCACAAGATCTCAAGATGCATCTGGTTCATCTAGAAGCAGTTACTGTATAAGTTATTTTCTGGATCATTCTTGTTCTTATATCAACACATATATAACTTAGTTCAACTTTACCTCCCGCTTTTCTGCTCGTTTCTCTGCTCTGGCTCAGAACAAGAACAACGTCAAAGAAGTTGCCAAAAAGAAGGGCCTTCTATCGGGCGGTTTTAGTACACTGCCACCCAGTGGCGGAAATAAGAACTGCACTTTCTCTACTTTTTTTTAAACTGCGATCCTACATTACATTACAACAATAAAGGGGATTAAATTAAGAGGGTTACACTAGCATGACTAGCTTCCGCTTCGGCTACTTTAGCTTGTCCAGCACGGCCCGCAGGGGCGTCAGTAACTTGGCTTTTTTTACGTGGCATTTCGTCGGACTGTCTCAGAAAATAGCTGTTAATACTCATATTAAAGTGGTACTCTTCGTGTGACCTGGAGCTGTTGTATACGACAGGTTAAAATCAATTATTAGCAAATTTCTGCGTCTGCTCTCCCGAACGTGACCGATCCTCACGCCGCCATCTTGAGACTCACTAGTAATATATTTACTGAGAAAAATGKTGACGTGTTCAATACTTATTTTACCCGCTGTAATTTTGGGACAGTGTTGTCAGATGTGTGCCACAAGGAGATAAGATGCTCCGCGTTCTCTGACCGACAGCAGCTTGTTGTTTGTAGCGCAGTGTTAGCGTTAGCAACACTGAAGGGCTAATTGTTACCGTGTTGCTTAGCTACTTTGGCTCATGAAGTCCAAAAAGGTGCATGTTTCCTGTAGTTGGTTCGGTTCAAGCCAGTCTGTATTCACTCTAGAAGTGAACCGCACAAGATTTCGATGGGAAGCGGACCGAGACCACCTCAAAAAAAAGGGTCTTGGTCTGGTTGTTTGATCTGCACCAGGGTTTGCAAGAGTGTATTCACACCTGCATAAAAGCTCCAGACCAACAGGGGGAACAAACTCTGGTCCATTTAAAGTAGACCAATCACCCAAATTGCTATCTAAAATATACAATAAACTATCTAGAATAGTCTACCCAATATCAATACCTGTTGCTAAATGGGAATGGACTAATCAGCCAACTTTGACCAAAATACCTGGTCTAAAATATGCTTGGAAACATTTAAAATAACTAGAAATTCTAATATACAATTAATACAACNAATTATATCCATGCAGTCTGGCTCTGCCCGCCTGTCCAGAGGTTTTGGGTCCGGGTATGTGAAGATTTCTCGAAGTGTTTGAATTGTTATATTCCACCCTCTACGTCTGCTTATTGGCTATCTTCTTAGGTGATGTCACTATAGAGAAAAACACTTCTCATATGATTTCCACTGCCTTATGCATCGCAAAGAAAACCATACTCTTAAATTGGAAAAATAAAAATGAGCATTAATCAGTATAGAAATCTTCTGCTAGATCGTTATAGTCTTGAAACAGCCTCTGCCGCCACATCAGATAAATCTGTTTGGGCTCCTTTGATT